GAACCACCAGCAAATTGAAAGCCCAACCGCCGCTATTCCAGCTGCTGAAAGCAGTTTGACGGTGTGGTCTCGTCGGATGAGAAGGCCTTGACGACAATGGGCCCTTGCATTTAGCTTACCGCCCCAAACTCCAATAACATTGCTCCTGCCATGTGGTTCAACAATCTGAAACACTCGCGTCGTTGGTATTTCCTGCAGAAGCTGGGACTTGAGGTGCCTACCAATTAGTAATCTGTTCCCCCACGAGTGAGCTCCCGAGTGCTACCCAAGTCGTTGTAAAGCGCTGACGCCGGCACTGCCGTGACAACTGCACTCCCACAAGAAAAGCCTGATCAACAACATCAGCCTCAGAGAAACTATACAAACCAAGCAGCGTTCCTGACAACACAGCTGGTGCTCAACGACAGCGAGTGTTTGGGCCAAACAGCTTGCTTATCCTCACAAAAGGGACCTGCAAACACTCTAGGCGCTTAACAAGGGAGGTTTGCCAAGTGCCTTTGCACGTCCACGCCTGCAGATACTTCACCTAAGAAAGCGCCACCCTTGGTTTGCAGTAAGTTGTCTGCTGCCTCTTTCGACATGTCTGGTTCAGCTGCGTTTTTTGTTTGCAGATCTTTTAAACTGGCGGGTGGCCAACCTGAACTAGCCACAGAGGTGTGTACTGTTTTTTTCCCACGGCTGCTCCTTGCAGACCCGTATAGACAATGCTCTTGCCTTGCCACCCCTGCCACATCCTGGTGCGCACCACTCGTGCAGAAAATGGATCGCGCCCATGCGCAAGCAGCAAAAATGTTGCGCCGCCATGGCTTCCACGGCGTTGGCATTTTCATCTAGAAGCTAGAGATGCAGTTCAGAGTTGAGACAGGACATGCGGCCAACGCTGTAGTGCAGGTTACCTTACCTGTGGTTCCTAAGCAAGGTGGCAAGGGCATCTGGCGTTAAGAGCCTTCCAGAGCCTTCCAGATTCCAGAGCCTTCCAGAGCCTTCTTCGGGATAAGATCCCAGGTTTGGCCGGGACGGACACAAAATGTGTGGGGTCTGTGCCAGTGTTTGAGGTCTGTGCCACAGATGCATCGGAACCGATTTTTCGGTGCAGTTCTTGAGATGCCGGTTCACCGGCATCGGTCCCAGGTTCGGTTCCCAACCCTTCATGTAACTCCCTTGCCTTCCCTTGCTGCCGAGGCACTGCAGAAATTTGTCGCTTTGTTCGGCAAAACCGGCAGCCTCGTTGCAACAAGCCGGCTTGGGAATGAGAAGTCGGAAATCCAACGAAATCTGGTGTTACGTAAGGCAGAAAATCAGCAGCAGAAACCTGGTGGCTCCTTCGGTGGTCCTTCAGACAGAAGAGAACAAAGGATTCGTCAATGCTGAACTTGAATGCTTGTGTGTGCTCAGGGCGGGTTCGACTCAGCCTCCTCCTCGCAGGTGGAATGATCGCGAACTGACAGCAAATATTACGGGATGGTACGCTTGTTGTTTAGCGGAACTGCATTACAGGCAAAGCTGCATCTTTGTGTTGCCGGCGCTGCTGTGCACCTGTCGACACGTGCTTCGCTTTGCTTTGGGTGTCACGGTTCCTTCCTGTTAGGGTTGGCATCCAGATGATGGAGTGTTGGAAAATGGCCGCTTGATTCTCCACGTCCGAGCCCAAGATTGATAAAGATTGAGTGCTCTTTCAGGTCAAAAGATTGCAGTGAGTCCCGGTTCCGACTGTCGCAACTTCTATCGAAGCTGCGCTGCAGGTCCCAATACGGACGAGTCGCGGAGCTTTGACCAGAGTCGGCAACCTCTTGCTGAGCGTGCCAGAAGGCCACATAGCACAGCCAAGCGAGACATTGGCGCTGATTGCACAGGCTGCAGGCCGGCAGGAGAAGAGGAGTAGAGGAGGCCATGGTAGGAGCAAGCTCAAAGGAATGCCTTCGTGATTCAACAGCAACCAGATGAGTCACAATGTGTATCAATGTATCAATGTGTTGCTGGCATCTATATTAATATGCACGCATGAGACCTGTGACAAGCGACAGGTGTGATCCATTGGTGCGACTACTCGCTGCCACATACCGTCTTCAATGCAGACGATGGGCCTTCCGTCTCAAGCCCTCGAGGTAGAGAGGTGGCATGTGTTTTTTTGGGGCGAGCGTCTACTCTACTACATGGCTCCACGCAATAGAGGGGATGCTAGTAGTTTTCATACAAGACCATGCCCATACGGTTGTTTATGTGTAGAATCATGTGGACCACGTGGATTCGTTGGGTCAGATTAGGCAAGTATGCAATCGATCATTTGCCAGGCTTACAGTCACAGGGGGGGATTCCGCAATAACCTCGGGCTCTTCAAGGTCCATAGGAGGAGCTCTTAAGGGGTATAAGGAGGAACCCACCCCTTAGGTACCTTATAGGGGTCCCTGCTTTATACCCAAAAAGCTCAGGACTCGCGTGCACTTGATTATCGACGTGGTGGCGAGGGGCAACGAGGAGCCCAAAGCCTTCCGAACCACATGGCTTTGAGCGGTTGCTTTGGGATGTTCCCCCTTTTACTAACAGTCCTTAACAGGGATTATAGTACCCCCTATTATAATCCCCATTAAGGACTGTTAGTATAAGGGGGAACATCCCAATTTTGAGCTGTTGCTAGCTAGCCTCGGGGCTGAGGGGCGCAATGGGCAACATGTCAGGTGCATCGTTCTGCACCTGCCATAGCTAGTGGGCACGGCTGCACGCACTGGAAGCAATTGAGCACGCCCATGTCTACTAGGTCACCCCAAGCATGAATAGCGCTGGACTGCCGCGGGGACGGCGGGGGAGCGGAAGAGGGAGCAACTTCTTCCAACGACCTCAGAAAACATGTTCCAAGACTGCCTCACACCTACCAGGACTTCCAACGCAACTTCCTCGATCACATGGAGCCTTCACTGCGCGAAGCCCTGTTGGCGAACGCTCTGCCGGAGCTGCCTGGCCCTGAGGCGGGCATTGGTTAGACGCACTGTAGTTCCCACCGCGACCCATTTGGTGCCCAAAACAAAGGCAACAGGAACCAGTTCATGGCATAAAGCCCATGATGCCCTCTCATCTTTGGTTCAAGTTCACGGGAGTGACATTGTGTTACACTGAGAATGCCACTGATTGAAACTCAACGATGACAAATACGTAAACATGATGGCCAATCAATTTGGCAAAAGCGCTTCGAAAGCTCAAGTCTTCCGCGAGAGCGTTAGAGCCAAGCTTCACTGACCGCAGTGTACGTGTACGGGTTGCTGCTTCTTTGCTGTAAGGAACCAGGCCTGTTGCAAAAGGCTCGTTTCCTGCCCCATGCGCGGTCGACCCTGGAAGATTATGAGGTTTGTGCAGCAAACTCCGCTGACAATATGCCCGCAATGATTTGTGTAGGCTTGGCTGTGTAAGAATAATTAATGTAGAAACTTAGGACGTTTTAATCATCTTGCTGACGGAACAACTTGTGCTGATGCGTTTCGTTAGTGGCACCGACGATATTTACACTCGGCAGTATTCTTCATCTACTACGAAAATGAAAGAAAGCAACGTGTTGTCCAGCAATCACGCATGACACTCCCACTCTGATCTGCGACACCGCAGGGTCAAGCCTCCTGAGAACCCCGAGAGCTGAATGTAGTCAAGTTGGAGATGGAGCCGCTAAACCCAGTGTAGGATCTGAGCGATCAGAAGCCCAGTGAGCCTTGCAGCGTTTCTGAAATCATGTTTTTGTTGGTGGTTGATCTTTCGACCTGCCATATCATGCAGTCTCGCCTGTAAGGGTAAGATGCACCTCAAGAGCCATCCACGAGCCAGGAGGCTGCCGGGCCAGCGGAGGCTGCTTTCGCCAGGTGCGACCCAGCAAGCTCCAGGCTTCAGCTTCAACAGTTAGGAAGGCTTTGGAGTTTCAGATGAAGGTCTGGCATGTGCCCACTTGTTTGTTTTGTCATTGTGCCCTGGATATTCGGGCTCTTGTCAGCAATCCCCCGCAACCCGAGCATTGGCAGCATTGACCTTAGGGCAACCGATTCAGAGCTTTGCGCTTCCCTTACCAAGTGCCAAGTTATGTCCTCTCTGCTACAGTGCTTCCTTGCCACTTTGTGTGAGATGTGCCCATGCTTGCATTTTGACTATCTCAGCTCTATGGATGCTTGCTCTCCCCATACTGAGTCGTAGACCCCTCGTAGACCTGCCATCATGTGAGCCGAGGCCGCTTGCACGACAGATGTCGAAGACCTTCGCTTTACTGCAACGTGGCGTGCACAGATGCGATTTTACCTTGAGGAGTGTCTTCCCAGCCTCACTAGCACCGACAGCACCCACAACCCACATTCTGCTGTTTCTTGCACGCCGTGAGGTTTCTCATGGCCGTCTGCTGTGAGAATTTAAGCACTGGAAATCACCCTCTCGAAACCCCGCGACCGAAATGGAGAGGGTGGCAAAAAGAAATGAGACTTCAACTTTGACCTTTTTTTGGAGGGTACGGTTTGGGATTTCAGGGCACAGTACGCAGGGTCGGAGAGCCCTTGCCGCTGCTGGAGCGCTCCATCTGGCGGCAGGTGGGCCACGTTGATTCCTTTCATGGTTTGGGCTTAGGATGTTCCCCCCTATACTTACGGAAAGGGTTATAATAGGGAGTATTAGAATCCCTACTAAGGACTGTTAGTATAGGGGGGAACATCCCAAGTCCTCTGTGCCTGCAGGCCAAACTGGAGGGTAATTTTAGGCCACATACGTTCCATTCAAGGTATTCACTACCCAATATCGCTTTCAGTTTGCGGGCCCCTGTCCAGGTGGCAGCGGCCTACCTTAACCATTTGACCTGAGAGACGCGCAGAAGGGCCATTGAAAGGGTCCCGCGAACCTGCTGAGAAAATGCCCGCGCGAAGTTCTGTCTTCTGCTTTGAGGCTGGTGGCAGTGTGTGTGTGTGTGTGTGTATCAGGACGCTCGTTTCCACACCTCATCGGCCTTCACTCTAGTTTTGCTTGACAAAAGTCGCACTTCTGAGGCCAAGCGCCAGACTACAACCGCAGCACCCCAAGGTGCCGCAGAAGCCTTCACAGGGACTTGGGCTTCGGGGCTTGAGCGGTTTGTTTTGCGCCATGACAGTATGACAGTTGCGCGATGAGATGTGGGCGTTGACTGGCACTGTCGGGAGACGGAGTGTTTCACAGCAAGCGCGCGTTCCAAGTGTGTGTTCTCACATATACTCCGTCACTCCGTGCTTTCACTGAGTGTGGCACGCAGTCAGGCCGGTCAGGCCAGGTCACATCGACCTTCCAGCCACCGTTGGCCATTGTTGGTGCGATCCTTAGTCACACTCATTGTTTTTGTTGAGCCACATTTCACAATGTGTAAGGAGGACCCCTTGCTGCATTGGGTCTGATATGTGTGGTCAGGTGGCGGTCTTTCAGCAGCCACCACCAGGCCCTTGCTGCACATCTTGCTTGGCAACCCAGAACACATCTCCGCGAACAGCGCACTCTTCTTGAAGGAGGCCTGCATCCGCTGGACGCACAAAGCCGCTGGCCTCAGCGAAGGCCAATCCTTGAGAGCTAACTATATCTAACTATGTCACTAAGACTAAAACTATATATGTCATGTGTTTCTGCGCGGTTTGTTGTGGGCTTCAGGGAAGTCTAGAGTCTAGGGCGTTGGCTACACCGGGCGTCAGCTGCAGAACCTTTGCAACTGCTGTCCATGCGGCGGCAGATCGCATAGGATTGTTGGCGCAAGCTTGCGCAGGTGCGAGCAAATGGAGCTACTTTATCGAGGTGCAGCTGGGGGTACGCAGCTCCGGAACAAGCTGTAGGGTTTTTAGGGGGGGGGGGGCAGGGCAAGCAAATAAATCCAACTGGGTCGATAATAAGTGACCTCAAGTGCTTAATCGTCGTGTTTCATTTTCCCGGTAGCTGCATGTCGCAGCTTGGTTAGCGGGTGTGTTTTGACATCCCGTTGACGATTGACGTCAGGAGTAAAGAGCGAACCTCCGTGCGAAAACAGTGTTGGGGCCTTGACTGCGACGCAACGTGTCCAGCAAGTTGCATTGCACGGGGGCGTTGGCATCAACACCCACTCAGGCAACTGCCGCTTTTGCCCGTCCTGCCGTCGAAGACTAGACGAGGCTTGGGGAAGTTGCTGGCTGAAACGAGCTGAAGGTGATACGCCCTAGTTATAGGCATGCATGAGTCATAGCACATACCGCACCTTTCCTGCGACCCAGGAGAACGTGCGTCAGGCCATTGCCAGGCCACCCGAGTGGACAAAAATCCAAGCTAAATTGGAGGGCTCATGCAGCTTCCGGGCTTACCATGTGGTTCACCATGTACCTCATAGAACATTGTGCACGTCACGTTCTATGTCCGTCCTTGTGTTGTGTTCCTGCCGCAACTTATACACTGCCTAAATTTGATCCTAATCCACCTACAGCCAACGTCTTCGGCACAGGTCTTTGGAGGCAGTTTCCGGGGAGTCGTCGCAAGAGCCGTCTGATTCTCGGAGCATGCGACCTATGCGTGGTTAACATAGAACAGCAGAAGCATGGATCCAAATCTTGGTTGCGTACCTGTCCTTGCGCTGCAAAATTGGCACTGGCCTTGTAATCGCTACAAAGTTGGCCACGCTCATAGAAGTACTATGTCGGTACACGTGTTGTCGGGCCCACACAAGCGATAGAGCAGAGTATAACCCGGCAAAGGCCGATTGCCTCGGCCAACGCCTCCCGGGCTCGAGATGGCGGGGGCTGCAAATGTTGGGCATGTCCATCGCATCTTGCTAGGGTTTGGACGGCCTTTCTTCAAAGTTGCGTGGTTAGCAAGGGTCAAGGGTTTTGTGTTCGGGACTGCGGCATAAGCCGTGGGAGCTTGCCATTGACAAAAGCCTCGCATTCGCCGGGGTGCTTAAGTCAGAAGGCGAAGATTGCGTCATGTAGCATTGTTGGGAAGGCCGGGTTTGATTTGCGATTACATGGGCATTGTTCGTCCCCACGTGCCAGTAGGGCACAGACACGGCTCCGAAACGATGCGCTGTTGCAGACACTGTCCGACATCCCGCGCCCACAGCGCAGCCGCCAGGGGCCACAGATGCTTGCACTTAGTTCGCGTTGAATTGAGTTCAAAGGATGCCTTTGATTCCTGCAGCTCCCCTGGCCCCACCCCTGCTATCTACTTTTGAACAGCGTTTAGATGGTGGGATCGGGAGTTTCATGGGGTTTAGGATTAGTTTCAGATCACCACCCTGCCTGAAAATTTTAGCAATCCTACAGGGAGAGCACATGAATTCCCATATTCTGGAAAGTATTGCCTCCATGGAAGATCACACTTTGAGTAGTCGGTGTTCAATATTGCTGCCAAAGTGGACTTCCACATCTCGGGCTTCAGGCATGTCAAGCCATGCTTGCTGCGGACACGTCGTCCCACCCATCAACACCCACAAGTGTTTGTCGGATTTTGTCGGGCGGACCAAAGATCTGAAATCTCTTTAGGCATGAAGACATCATTAAGACTTGGTTCCATGGTCATCATGCGGTCACAGGCTTCGACCCCGCAGCTCCTCAGCAAACCGCAAGCCAGACGGCGCCCCAGAGAAGATGACATTGATGCATACGGGCCTTAGGATCAAGTTTTTGGTTTTGGGCCCTTTTATGGTTTTCGGGTCAGGGATGTCGAGGGTGAGGGAATGAGGAATTTTCCGAGTCTATGGTCATGCTGAAAACCACCTCCGAAGGAGGTACGCCGATCCTAGTCGCCTGGTTTGGGGGGGCCTTAGGGTGATTTCGCTGACATTCAGACATGACATGTACATGCATTGTGGTCTCTGCATATGCAGTTTCCTCCCATCTTCGCGCAAGCCCCTCAACAGGTGGTTCGAATCACCGCCTCGAGTTCGTTGCGGCCTCAGCAACTGAACACAAGGAGAAGGAAGCAAAGACAAACGACTGAGCCAATCACGAAACTTCTTTCTTATCATCGCATTGGGCCGCCAACCAAACATCTCCAAGCCCAGATAGATAAGGGTGTGGGTCATCAGCTGTGCAAGGACCGAACGCCTGCGCGGGCGGGGAGCTCAATATGGTCCAGCTGATCAAAGTCATTTCTGAGATTCGCGGTATTCGTTGTTTCAACGCTTTCGATGATGAGAATCGGTAGCCGTTTGAGGGTTGACGTTAGTTTGTTTACACATGTATGTCTTTGTAGTCATCTGTACCATTGCGAATGCGCCGTTTGGATTCTGATTGTGTCATCCTAAGCAGTGGAGGCATGATCGCAGTGTTCCAAGGGCATCCTTTGCCCCCTGATTTCAGAGCACTTGGGCAGTAGAGTGAATGCTGATGAATTCAGAACGCTGGTCTCTCAGGCACACGAAATGCTCCCAGGCGCGTGCCGAGGCCTGCAGCAGAGTTGCGGCCTTGGTGTCTAGAGCTGAGGGTGTTGCACAAGACGCTCATGGTACTTCATGCTGCGAGCGGGCAGCGAGGTTGGGATCTTGTTGTGAGGGGGGGGGGGGGCGGGACGGGGCCAAGTAATGAAATTCGATTACTGAGTTATCTCTGGAAGGCTGACATCGCCACAGTACAACACTGCACAGCATGAGCTGGGTGTTGCTTGATGTTTTCTGTGTTTTGTGCAGAGCGGTGGCTGGCGCTTGCGGAGCTAGTCCTGGAATGCTGAAGGGGCCATTGTCACAGATCAGGAGATTTGGCGCTTGCCCGAGCTTGCCCATTGAGAGGGCAGCACATGATAGACCCCCTTTGCCGGTCAGGTATGTTCAGTGTAATCAGATATGCATTTCCAATCTTTGGCTGGGATGTGATGAAACGGCAACAGCTGTCACCTGCGATCATGGTTTCGAACTTGGGATTGGGAAGTGGTGACAGTTTGACGGGCTGCTCAAATCACCCTGCTGGAATTTGGTTTTGCCCGGCTACACAGACAAGCGCAAATCTGCTCAGCCGAAGCAAATCTTGCTGCTTAACACTTTAAGGACATGCGAGAAGGCAAAGTCAGACATTGGCCAGTGTGCCTCTCAGATTCTCGATCTTTCCCCGCAAATCTTGCCTTCTCCACAAAGCTACGGTATATTACGCAGTACAGTTACGGAGAATCCCGATTCGGGATTTTTAGACTCCGTGCCAAGATACCCAACCGAGCGCACACGTGATTTATGAAGCTGTACGTTGTCTACTCATTTGCGTCTGAAATCCATTAGGGCGCTCCATCCAGACTCGTCCGGAACTCGTTCCGGGCGCCAAACCAAAAGGCGTTGAAGAACCACCGGGTTCTCCCTTACGCTCGCTGGCAATTATTGTACAGATTTGCAGTGCGATGACAAGTCGCCACATCCTTTTCAGCTTCAGCACCTACTTTCGGCGTTTGGAGTAGACGAACTTGATGAGACTCATAGCAAGAAAGTGCTGGCGCCACAGGCCAGGTGGTTTCCACAGCTAATCCCTAAACCCTAAACCTTCAGCTTGAATTATAAGGCCACATAAGGCCCATGTCATAAGGCTCCTGACAGAACCCGAGCCATCAGAGCTGCAGCGGAATTCGGCCTATGCATGGACCTGCGGATGGCGCACAGAAAAGGAGTCGATTCACATGCGCTTGGGCATCCCGGCTTGTGCCATCCTGCTGACGTATTCACAGGGAGTGAAAGCAGGAAATAAGGATTGACTTGAAGATTTGCAGAAGGTGCTAGTAGTGGTCAACAGCCGCTCCTGAGCACCACCTTGCTGAACTCTCCTACTCGTACCATAACTGCCCTCGCTTGACCTTTGAACTCAAACAATGTATTGTAGGCCACGAGATGGTATTGCAGGTCGGATGTCTAGGGTTTGTGATTGCACTTGCGCTGTCAAGGAGATGCTGCTAGCTCATCATGGAGCTTGGGGCTTCGGTAGTCGACTCAATCCCTGAGCCCGAAGCACAGGGTCCGGCCCAGCACTACAGAGTTTTCGTCGCCAAGGGTGTAGGCAACCCTAACCCCTGTTCAATGATACTGAAGCCGTACCTGCGATCGCGAGTCGAAGCCCCGTTCAGGATCCAGTCTCAGGTTCAGTTTGCTTCGTGCGAAAGACGCGCTACCTGTAGCCCTCTCAAGAGAGGTTCTTCAGTTGTTCAGCTTGTGTGATGGTTCAAGAGCTTTGGGCTCATGTTGATTGTCGCAAGGATCTTGCAGGAGCCTAGCAAAACATGCCAAACAATAAAAACCCACCCGAATTCTCCCCGACGCACGCTCTCCTTGTCTTGGCCTATAGACACCTGGGCCTAACCTTTCAGAAGTGCCACCTGTAGCGCTTTCGGGTGCATGGCACGAGAGGTGGAGTTTACTGTCTGCGGACCTGCGGGACAGGAGATTGGCAAGTTCCGCCTGGATTCCGCGTCTCCGTGCGCATCTCTGAAGTTGCAGATTGAGCAGAAGGTAGGTCCGCCACCTGCGACACAACAGATCGTCATTGGAGACCGGACTCTTGAAGATGTGGATCCTTTGCTGCTTGAGGCAGGTTCGCATGCAGACTCCGTGCATGTGACGCTCTTGCTGCGGTTCCCTGCTGGCGAGTCCAAGTTGGAAGCTTCCTGGAAGGCTCTCCCTGGGGCGGGTGGACTCCTGGAAGAGCTGCACATCTCCGAGGAACACAAAGCTGCCGTGCTCCCCGACCGGCGCGTGCACACGTGCGGTCTCGACCCGGACTCTGGCTTGCTCCTGCTCATGCGCGAGAGCGGCGAGATTCGAGGATATATTCCTATGAAAGGAGAGAACGGAAAGGTTACCATAGTTCCCAGCACCGAGTCTGCCAAAGGAAAAGGAGAGTACGGAATGCCTACCACAGGCCTTCCCAGCACCGCGTCTGCCAAAGACCGACGGAGCTGCCTTTCCGAAAGCGAGGACGATTTCGGCAAGGGCAAGGCCCAGGGCAAGTTTATTAAAGGCAAGCCTGGCTGGAAGCGACGCTACCGGGAACCGGGATCGCTAATCATGTTGCGTTCCGAGGGCAAACCTGTGGAGGTGCCCCTGGATGTTGATCACCCGCTGCATTGGGACGCGGAGATACTTGCGGTTGAAGCCGTGCAGGGCTTTCCGATCCCTTCCTTCGGCGTTGCAGTTGCGCGAGTATTCGTTGGCGCCAGCAAGGTGCACCTGATTTCAATGGAGCTATGCCCTGCGGTCATCAAGTGGCAGCGTTTGTCAGCGTCAGGTACCAGATGCGAAGCGGCATGCTTGGACAGGGAAAACCTGCGGACAATCTTCGTTCAAGCGGGTCCTGCCGGGCGTGACGTGGTGTTCACAGAGCTGCGGACCGTCAAGGCATCTGAACAAGTCGACAAGTTTCCGCTGAGTGGAGACTCATCGGACAAAGCGGTGAGCAGCATTGCATGGTCAAGCGCTTCTTCTTCTTCTGTTCTGCTTACCTTTGTTGGCGAGCACGCGGTTCGGGTGTACCAGAAAACGGGATCGGAATGGCTAGCTACTATGACACTTGGAGATCCGTTGCGACGAGGTTGTGTGGATGGTGAGGCTGATCAGCTTATGTTTTGGTTTCCAAAGTGCGACGACTTTGACGGAGAGCTGACATATTCTCGCCCGCTCATTGCAGGTCCGTCTGGTGCAGTTTTCGTGCACTCTGGCGGAGTGCTGATGCGCTTGGCGGCCAACTTGTCCTCTGCGATCAAAGCCACATCAATGAGGGAGGAGCTGTGGATGCTGGACGATGATGAAGGTACCCCTGAGTATCCCTGCCCTTACAATGTTGTCGGGGTTCACAACGACAAGATGTACAGGCCTTTGCGCCAAACAGACTACCGAGAGGGGCTCCTCGTTCGCCGGTTGCAACTGTCTCCAGATCTGCGGCAGGGCCGAAGTCGGATCCGAGATACTGCTCCAGCATTATGGCCTAGCATCAATGAGAATCGCGTTAGGGATGCAGCTTTCGTCGACAATCCAGACTTATATTTGTGTGCGAGAGCCTTGCGGCCAGCTCGCTACTACGAGGAAGACCGTGACAGGTGGGATGGAAACCCCCGGTGGCTGGGCGATGGGTGGCTCTGGCAGAATACCGAAATTCCGGAAGACGTCCGGATCCGCCGAGGCCGACTCATTGATTTCGCGGAGTGGCGGCAGCTCAAGCAGTTCGAGGAGGAGTATTTGAAGGGCGGCAAGGCTGGCAGGGGCAAGCGCGGTGGCTACCAGGAAGCACAGGAAGACCCTGCCAAGGAACTCAGATACAGGAACCTCTTCGAAAATGAGTGCCGGGGGCTTTCCGAAAGTTCGACCTAACGTTTTCTGGAAGCAAACGGGGCTTGGGCACCTCCCGGCGGTCCCTACGCTGGCAACTGACTGGAATGAAGTGTGCCCGCCACCCTGCAACACAGGGTCAATTGCAACTCTGTCCTTTTTGCTCGTGTGTCGTTTCCATAGCCGCAGAAGTGGAGACATGTGCAACAGCCGCTTCTTCAACACGAAGCTCAGAAACAACTTCGTCAGTTCTCCTCTCAGCCCGACGTTTTGGTTTGTATGGTTTGTGCTCTTATCCAGGGACTGTGACTCTGCAAACATGTTTGAACGCTTACTTGCATTCATCTTCGGAATTGTGAGAGACTTAGCCACCGTGTGCAAACGAGAACAGTAGCGTATGGAATTGTTGGGCATGCACACCTCGAAGCATAAAGCCACGGGGTTTGTTGCTGAGCTTGTAGGGTGCTATGGTGTTTCGGTCCATGCGCTTCAGGCTTTCACCACTTTCGGCAGTTGTGTTTGACTTGTGGGAGAGCACCGCAACGGCTGGAGTTTGTAGGACTTTGTGGTCGCACAAACCACAGCAGGTACGACGTCCACGTAGTTGCCTCAACAGCGGTTCTTCTTATTTGCCCTTCACCGTCCAGCTCTTGTTAGGGTGACGTGATTGAGAAATTGAGAGCACATGAACGGCTGCCAGCACACCTGCTTCATTGGCACGTCGTGACGTGCCCGGTCTGCTTGTTGTGACGCATGGAATTTTGTAGGTTTCACACCATGTCCCCAAAAAATGCATAAAGGAGTCCCGCCTCTGGGCGAGAGCCGAGCGACGCGTCGCGCCCTCGCCAGCGACCCTCGCCTACGCGTCGCGCGAGCCACAGTGGGAGCGCTGCTCGAGCGCTGGCTCCAGGGTGGCGCCAGCGCTCGCCCAGCGGTCGCCCCAACCCGCACCAGCACAGGGCCAGCGCTGGCTCAGGGGTGGCTGCAGCGCTGGCCCAGCGCTTGGTTCAGCGTGGGCGGCCATGCTGGCGCCAACGCCGTGCCGCCGCTGGCTCCCTGGCTGGAGACAGCGCTGGCTCAGCGCTGGCGGCTTGGGCCACGGAGCCACCCCTGAGCCAGCGCTGGCCCCCCGCACCAGCCAGCCAGCGCTGGCCCCGCGCTGGCCGTCCAGCCAGCGCTCACCCAGCGCTGGCTGGCTGGCTGAGGAGGCCAGCGCTGGCCCAGCGCTGGCCCCCCGCACCAGCCAGCCAGCGCTGGCCCCGCGCTGGCCGTCCAGCCAGCGCTCGCCCAGCGCTGGCTGGCTGGCTGAGGAGGCCAGCGCTGGCCTCCTCAGCCAT